TTTGAAGAAAGCATTTCAACCCAGAAAACTATTCATCTGTTTCTAACCTAACCCTATTATTAGTTATTTCTTCTGTTTCCCCTCAAGGAAGGGAGTGAGGAGGAGGGGGCTGGCCTATCTTCAGTGGTGGACACTGACAGAACTAGAGGAAATGGCCATAAACTGAAGCACCAAAAGTTCCACAGGAACTTAAGGAAAAAATTGTTGACAGTGAAGGTGACAGAGCCCTGGAACAGGCTGCCCAGAGAGGTTGTGGAGTCTCATTCTCTGGAGGTCTTCCAAACCCGCCTGGATGCCGCCCTGTGCCATGTGACCCTGCGTGTGCAGGGGGGTTGGACTAGATGACCTCTGAGGTCCCTTCCAACCTTAAGCATTCTGTGATTCTATGTACTGTTACTTTCTGAGCTTATAGAAAATGGTGTTTCTTGATMCTTTGGGCTTACCCACGTACAGCATTTGTAACATAGGTTATGTGTATCTTGCTTAGACTTTGTAGCTTCTATTTTTTGCTCTACTTGGAATGATTTGTGTTTCTCCGCTTTTAAAAAAGTATTAATCTTTTCTGTAATTACTGTTGGAGAATTKACTTTTCTTATTTCTCCTGTCATATCAGGCAACACTTGAATCTCTCACCTAGTTTTCTCACAGAATAAGACTCATATAATTATACATTTTGAGTATGCATCTGTTTGGTTGTCTTTTGAATCCAGACACAGTGGTTTTTAAACTGCAGTCTATATTTACTTCATTTTAGCAAGGTGGCAAAGATTATGGAGGTAAATTGGTTCTTGTAAGCTTTGCAAATTTCGTGGTCAACGTAACGGAGGGAGCAAGCGAGTTCTGTGACTGTGGGAAGGGCTGTAGCATGATTCATAGAATCATAGAATGCCCAAGGTTGGAAGGGACCTCAGAGAAAAGAGGCCGCCCCCTCCTCCTCACTGCCTCCCTTGAGGTATTTATACACACTGATCAGGTCCCCCCTCAGCCTTCTCTTCTCCAGGCTGAACAGGCCCAGCTCCCTCAGCCTTTGCTCACAGGGCAGATGTTCCAGGCCCCTGWTCATYCTSGTAGCCCTGYGCTGGACTCTCTCCAGCAGCTCCACATCCCTCTTGTCCTGGGGAGCCCAGAACTGGACGCAGTCTCCAGATGTAGCCTCACTAGGGCTGTGTATAAAGCCCTGGTGAGCCCTCACCAGGGCACGATCACCTCCCTCGACCTGCTGGAGACGCTCTTCTTAATGCATCCCAGGATCCCATTGGCCTTCTTGGCCACCAGGGCACACTGCTGCCTCGTGGTCACCTTGTCATCCACCGTGACGCCGAGGTCCCTCTCTGCAGGGCTGCTCTCCAGAAGGTCAGTCTCTAATCTGTCCTGGTGCCGGGGTTATTCCTCCCCAAGTGTAGGACCCTGCACTTGCCCTTGTTGAACTTCATGAGATTTCTAACTGCCCACTTGTCCAGTCTGTCCATGTCTCTCTGGATGGCAGCACACCCCTCAGGGCTATCAGCTACTCCTCCCAGTTTCGTATCATCAGCAAACTCGTTCAGGGAGCATCCATCCCTTCATCCAGGTCAYTAATGAATAARTTGAACAGGACTGGACTGAGGGACTGATCCCTGGCGGACACTGCTAACCACAGSCCTCCARCCAGACTCTGCACCACTGATCACCACCCTMTGAGCTCTGCCCTCGAGCCAATTCCTAATCCATCTCACCATCCACTCATCTATSCCACACTTCTGAACCTTGYTCAGGAGAATGTTGTGAGGGATGGTGTCAAAAGCCTTGCCCAAGTCCAGGCAGACGATATCCACCATTCTGCTCTCATCTATCCAGCTAGTCTCTCCTTCATAGAAGRCGATCAGGTTAGCCAAGCATCATTTCCCYTTGGTGAATCCATGSTGGCTACTCCTGAGCACCTTCTTCTCCTCCAYGTGTCTGGAGASAGCAGCCAGGATGAGCTGYTCCATYACTTTCCCGGGGATGGAGGTGAGGCTCACCGGCCTGTAGTTACTCGGGTCCTCCTTCTTGCCYTTTYTGAAGACTGGAGTGAYGTTGGCTTTCTTCCAGTCCTYCRGCACCATCCCCGTTCTCCAGGACCTTCCGAAGATGATGGCGAGCRGCTYGGCTRKGACATCYGCCAGTTCCCGCAACACYCTGGGGTGCATCCCATCAGGGCCCATGGATTTGTGGGTGTCGAGTTTCCTTAGGTGCTCTCTGACCCACTCTTCCTCTACCCAGGGCAAGCCTTCCTCTCTCCAGCTCACTTCTTGTGTCCCTAGGGCCTGGGATTCYAGAGGGCTGCCCCTGACAAACACTGAAGCAAAGSKGGCGTTCAGCAGCTCTGCTTTCTCCGTATTTTCCGTAACCAGGGTACYCACCTTGTTCACCAGTGCACTCACACTCTCCCTGACCTTCCTCTTGTTATTAATATATTTGAAAAAGTTTTTCTTGTTGGTCTTAACATCCTTTGCCAGATTTAGTTCCAAGTGTGCCCTGGCTTTCCTCGTAGCATCCCTGCATTTCCTGACAACGTTCCTGTATTTCTCCCAAGGGGCCTGTTCTTTCTTCCACATTCTGTATACTGCCTTCTTCTGCTGGAGTTTTGCCATGAGCTCCCTGCTCATCCACGCAGGTCTCCTGTSCCCTCTGCCTGACTTCTTGGAGTCAGGCAAAGATCTGATCAGATCATCAGATCTGATGAGACTCCTGGCAGCCTCCTTGGGGAGACACTTTCAAAGTGAAAACARTTAGGGAACACCTTTATTCAGCTGGAGCTCCTGGGAATTCCAGATCCCTGTAGTCCCACTCAGAAGCACATGCTACCCATGGCCCTCAGAAAAGAGTAGGGAACGCAGGACTGTATGTAGAGGGTATCCTGCATTGCCTCCTAGCTTGTGAATCTAATTCCAGCTTTCTTTCCTAACTTACAGCACTAGTTCCGTCTTTTTCCCATCACCTTTGTGCTGGACTTGCCTCGGAGCTGATGCTCCTTTTCCAAGAAGTYATGATATTCTGAAACTAGCTGTGCAGTTTTCACAGTGCAGTGGGACAGTGCTGCTCCCCTCCTGCTTCAGAAAACTTCCAGGCACAGAAAGGAACTGCAGCCCGTCATTCTAATAGCAAAGCACCTATGTCCTGATGCACCTGTGTATCTGTGCTGCATGGAAAAAGCGAAGGGGAGAAAATAAGACTTTGCAGAGCAACATAAAGGTATGTAGAAAAGGCAGTATTGAAGGGTACCAAGTACTGGAGCACTATGAATCTAAATAAAGGGTTAATAATAAAGCTAAGTAAACTTAGAGGGTAAATGAAAAAAAATCTTGGTTCTTAATAGCCTGCAGAGGAAGGAGTTTAACATTCATGGCTGTGAAAGCCATTTACTCAGCATCATGAGCAGCATGTAGTTTGATAACATGAAATAAGCACCTCATCCTCCACTGCTACTCATGCATGTACAATTCTTCTCATTTAATTCAGCAGGACTAATTATCTGAATTAGTGGCATTAGCTTGAGGCTATGGTTTTGCAGATTGAAGCTCTGGCTTTCAGAACAGCTTCTTTAAAAGAATTAGTCATGTCTAAATACAACAGTACTGTCACATTGCATCCTTTGGYTTTGTCTGACATTTTGTTTGCAATACCAACCTTATGCAAGACTGTCCTCATGGCAATAGGCTTAAGGCAGTGTTTACTCTATTTTTGTTTCMCTGACAGCCATAAAATTGTTCATCAGGTTTGGATAGTTACCTCATGAGCTGACAGTAAATGAGGTAAAATGCACTACATTTTAACCTCCACCTCACTGCTGGACTTTGTCATCCCCAATCCAGGGATGTCTTGTCCAATTCATTAGTAATTCAGCTCCTGAACTAATGCCCATTATGGTTTAACTTGCTGGGTGAGCATAAAATCTAGAGCTAATTCTTGAGCAGATTCAACACGCTTGCCTTGGCAGCAACAACCACTAGAGAGGCTGGGCTGAAAACAGCAGGCAACAACTACAGCAGTATCAGGCAGAGCAGCAAGGYGCTCAGCTGGAGGAAGTAAAATCCTTGGGCTTTAGTTTACCTTTTAAAATAAGGAATTATGCTTACCCTTGCAGTCTGGCTTTTTGCTGTGAGTAGAAGAACTCTGGTAACTCCATAATGCCTGCCTTTGCTTTTGAGGGGAACAGTGGGAGGGTTGAGCATCTACAGACCTTTCTTACCTGAGGATGGGCAGGGAAAGGAGTGCAACAGCCAGGCCAAAGCTGTGTGTTTAGCTGTTGTGGTTTGTTAGTATGAACGTCATTTGTCACCTCTTATCTTTAAATGAACAGTTCATAATTGAGCAGTGTGAATGTGAGATTCCACATAGTAAATACTGAATTTACATCTCATTTATCTCCYTCAAGTACTTAACGAATTTCCAGTTTCAGCTAATGAGTAATGGARACTTCAGGCCCACTGTCCTATGCATGGAAATTAATAACGGCCTGAGGATACTTTCATACCTAGTAGTRTGGTAAAGATAGCTGAGATGTCAGAATATTCCTCCTTATAAAATCCTGAAAGTTTTTCATATTCATTCCATTCAGTATATTCACCATATATTCACTTCATATTCACCAAGGATTTGGTAACCACAACAAATATAACCCACTCTTCACAGATGAAAGAAGTGAAGAAAAAAATGGCTTTTCTCACCTGTTCTTCCCTTAGAGTAGCCATAGATTTTGGTCTCATCTTCAGATCCTCTTGTTCCTTGTGAAAATTTTGAATAAGGTTGAAAACTTACGAGTGTTTGTTACGAATTTGTTAATAATACATTGAAAGAAATTTGAGATGCGCCCATCCCCTCCCATTCTTCAAAGATGTTCTAGAAGTCCYGAAATAATTCAGATTAGCAGATGGGAATTGGAAAACATCCATACTCAGGGACTTGGCATAAAGAATATTTTGTCATCACCTCTTTTATTAGAAAAGGATCAGTGAATAAATGTTTTCACCAGCTCCTGCTGCTACAGTGTAAGAAAAAGCAGCTCTCACTTGTAGCTGTGGCTTCCGTCACTTTTGGCATTCMAGTCCAAGTCCAAAACATTAAATGTGCAAAGCAAAGCTTTCCAAACAAGACAGTGGGATAAGATAGAGTCATCTGGGGCAAATGCATAACATGCCATATCCTAACATTGCCAAATATGACAGATGTGTAGGATTTAATTGATCATCCTTGTCTGTTGCTGGAGGTGAGTCCCAGTCTGCTGTAGCATATCCATGTAAGATCTGATGTTTTCCCTAGAAAAAAATCGAATAAATTGCATTTAAAAAAAAAAATCTGCAAAATTAATTTAAAGATCATTTTGGCAAATTCAATCTTTAGATTTGCAAGCATCTGCAAATATTTCCTTCTAGAARTACCAACACTTAAACCAGATTTCTGCATATGTTATATAGGCTTGCTTGAGTATCTTAAATACCACTAATCATGAACAATTATATTGAAAATCATTATTCTGTGTTATCCACAATCCCTTTTCATAACTTCTAGCCTGATGTCCTTTTTGTCATGTGCATCAGTAAAAGTTCCAAATGCTAATTTGTCGTATTATATTTTCAATTTTATTTTAGCTTCAGTGTTAACCAGCCTCCTTCTGAAATCATAAACTTGCTTCAGTGGGAGKGCCTTTAAATGTTTCTGTAAACCAGCTTTAATTCCTGTCATATGACAACCACAAGAACTAACATGCTGCAAACATAATTAATCCTACAATGTGCSTGGCACTGTCGGGATCACAGCCTTCGTACCCTTGTAGCAGACAGCTAATATTTGAAGGTAGTCAGGCATTTTCTGACTAATTTTTCTGCTGGAAAAAATGAGGGCTTGAGGGGTTCTAGAAAGCCTTACAAAGTTTCCTAAACCATTTTGATTTAGTTGTAAGAYAGAAATGACATCTGCCAGGCAAGCAAGCTTCTGCCCTTATCAATTTTGGAAGCTGTGGAATAATATTCTGTTGCTTCCTTCCACTTGCTCAAGGACCCCGACTCCAGGCTTGGCAGGAGGACAGGGCAGTTGTGCCTTTTAGCTGTTTCTTTTCTACCTTGCTCTTACTCCGAGTGAATAAAACTGGCAACACCTTTCATGTAGGGCTGTCCTAAGAAATCCAGTCTGTGACTCTCCAAATCACATTCTTATCATACAGAAGAGTGAGCTTCAAGAAAACACTTTCAAACTGGAAATTTATAGTCATGGTCAAAAAGATAACRACTTTAAAACAGCAAAAGTCAAGTTATATTCAAAGTATATTATGAGAAAAGCTTTTACCCATTTTTCTTTCAGCCGAGTTTTTTGTTTTTCAGCCAAGTGGCTAAAGTTTGACTGATCACGTTGCTTTTTCTTCATAAGTATTTTAAGCAGTGAAACTTGAAGGTTTGTGAGTTTAGTGCTACCCACTCCTGTCCTTTTTAAAGGATTGCAGGATCTTCATGTGAAAAACATTTTTCAGGAGCAATATGTATTTTCTGCATTGTGCTTGTCAAACAGAATCACTTAGCAATTGCTCCCTAAAATTGACTTAATTATCCTTCAAAAATATGTGTATATTTTAGCACAGTTCTAAGCAACTTCTCTATAATAATTTGAGATTCTTTATTTCATGTAGTTGTTGCCAATCTACAAATACTGTTTTTACCAGCTGCTACATCTCATTTTCCATTTTGTTCAAATAAACTTTAATTCTACATTGAATACAGTTTTGTGAGTGGAATAGATTGTTTTCCCTTATACTTTTATTTTTCTACTGAGGAGTTGCTTTCTGTCAGCATTTTAAACCAACTATATCTTTCTACATTTAACTTCTGGGGACTTAACTGTGTGTGTGTGCGCATGCATATATATATGTGTGTGTGTGCATGTGGGATTTCTTAATGTATTGCATTATACTTCTAGGCTCCAATTGCCATTTTTTTCTTATTTGTTTATATTTGTCAGTTTTCCTTATGGAGCCACCTGCAACTATTAGGTGTCTAGGAAGTGCCCTGTGAAGAAAGTCCATTTTACCTGGCAATAGAAGGATCAAAGGCAAAGGATCCCAAGTCCATGTAGTATTGTGCAGTGTTTCTCAGAGACGTCCATGATTCGCTAATCTGAAGTAGATCCAAAACAGAAAAGAATTTCCTCAGCTTTGATACTAAATACTGGTAAACTGAGACAGTAATTTACTACAAATAGACATAGAAATAGACTTCCTTGTTGGTCCCAAGAGGTTTCCGTTATGTGTTAATTCCTATTCTGCATTATTTTTTCAGTGGGTATTGCAAGATGGTGGAAAAAATACCTGCTCAGCCACAGTGTATCCCCATGCATTCTGGCTGCTGCTTGGGTCCCAGTAGCTCTGGGAATATGGAATTTGTCGTTTAAGTCGTATAAACTGATTTGCTGACTCTTCTGACAGAAATGGTGCTCCAAGGACACCTAGAATGGAAGCGGAGCAGTATTTATAAWATCAGCAACATATTTCGGAATGTGTACTTTTTTATTTTTTTTTAATTTTATAGTCTTATAGCATGTCTTTGGACTGGAAATTTCTTGAAAAGAAGTCAAATATGGTCTTACCTTAGATCGTCAGAAAGATTTTTTTTTAATAGCCTGCATCTAATAAAAAATTTATAGGAAATTTATATTTCCTATAAATCTCTGTTTTTCTGGTGAATCCAAAGTGGATAAACTTTCAACTAAATTAAAGCAGAACTTTATTTTTTAATACTGTTGTTTTAAAACAGAAAATATTTAGACTAGGCTTGCATCCATCTCTGGTGTGCTGAGACTTAGTCTTTATTCTCCTTATCAACTACACAGATATTACCTCTGGGGAAGTTATTCTGTAGAGARTGGATATTGTACATTTCATCTTGTTACCACACTGTTCGAGACATCTTTTGATGTCAGCCTGGGTGCAGATGTTCTTCTTTAAACAACAATTTCTCCCAAGGGAAAAAAAAATAACCTAAGTTCCTTACTAACTTCTTACAAAAGGCCTTGGTAAAAGTCATTTCTTGTTTGTCTTCAGTGTTTTAGACTTGCAACCATTGGAGGCTGAAGTGGTCTTAAATAGCACCTTGGTCCAAATAGTCTTTAATGAGAGGCTGATTAGGTTTAAACTCAAGTGAAGTCACTGAGGCCAAGTCCRTGAACAACTTTGCTCCAGTTTGGTCAAGGAGGTTTAAATGAAAACCTCACGACAGACTTGGTACAGATGGGCCAAGCACTTGAGCTCTTGTACCTCAGTGGGCCTGGCAGTGGGAGTTTTTCAGGCCAAGCCATTGTCCCCCTGATATCTCTCTATTGCTCTTGGTTTCTTGAAGGCAAGAATCTGTTCAAGAGGGCCTAACAACATTAATCACTTGCCATTATGCACAATGCTGAGCAGAATCTTGCTGGTTAGATTGACCATGCAATGACCATTTTCTTTKTAAAAAAGGAAATATATGCTGAGGSCACGGAGGTAGCAGGTGTGCACAGTAGAATATTTGTAACTCCTTTTCACTTTTATTTCTTTTTAAAGCCAAAAAATTAGTGAAAAAGAAGGGTGAGAAGATGGTTGAGTTCTAAGTAGTTCTTTCCTATTTCAGTTTCWTTACATTCTATGTTACTACAGTCACAAACTACAGGCAAAAAWTTATGTGGAGGTAGTTCCAAGGAACACTGTCTTTACAAATTCTAACTAACATACAAATAAATCAAAGTTCAGACATCCAGCRTTTAAATTCTTATAGTAAAAGTGCTCTCTCGGAGAACTAAGGAATTGCTATTCCTGAGCATCAGAGATCAAGTAAGATTTGGGCCTGTGAAAGGAAAAAAATATACATTTTTGCATTTAAGCTGCAACACCTCTGTTCTGGAGTTGTATGAGATGAAACATAACTCATGCCAAAATTCATTATTTCTCTCTGACACTTTACTATTKTCCAGTAGAAAAACTATGAGCTGCTAGCTTCTCTTTAATAAATATATGTATGTATATACATACACTAGGTATTAAATATTTTCTCAGGTTCGCTATTATTCTTCTGTCTACTGGACTAAGATGCTTGAACTGGGATCAGAATTTGGCTTAGTAATAGGCTTCACTTTTGTTTAAATATATATATATATATATATATATATATCTAGTAAGGGTCATTAAATATTAAATTTTATTGCCAGTGTGTGCTTTGGCCTTCTGGCTTTGCAGTGAGCTATAATAAAGATCATTAAGCAGCTCTGCTGTTTCGGCTTCTTTCCCCTCATTGCCAGTGTCTTCAAAGGATGAGCTCATAGTTCTACTGCCTGGTGGGACAGTGAGGTCTTACCTGGGCTCCTGTGGTGCAGCGTGCTGCATTTTAAGGCTATTAACTTTCAATTTTTAATACACCGTCTGCTCTGATTGCACCTGTATCCAATGAGAAATGCCATCCCTAACCATGCTACATATTCACTTTGATTACAGTGCACCTGCCTGATTCAAGGAGAAGAAAGGACCCAGRCTAAGTTTTTCTGACCCAGGAGCATCAGCTCTGCTATTAGATTCCTTCACCCTAGCTCATGGCCAGCTTTTGTTCTTCTACTGTCTTCAAACTTCTTTTGTTCTGCTACTGTAAAAGCCATGGAGAAAAATAGTGACTGTGCTGCCTCAAATGCTTCCACCTCTCATGTGTGCCTGGGAGCCATCCCCACAGGACTTGTCCCTAGATGCCTAGGGCACACTGAAGACGCAGGAGTAACCAGGAGGATATATGGTAAGCGTCTTTAGACTCGAGTTTATCCCTTGGGCTTAACTCATCCTAGCTTTGCTGTACTGTGAGGATCATTGCAGGTCACCAAATGAGACAAACTTCACTTATCTGCAACGGAGCTCTGTGATCTCCGGCAGTGATCACCTACATGTTAGTGAGGGGTTTCACTGGGAGTGCGTGGGCAGAAAGGAGGCTGTGATTGCCTGTGCCCTGCCAGAGCTTKGGGAAGGCTGCTCTTAGACCTCCACTGTAGACCTGGAAAAGTCAGACCAAGTAGTGCCTATGGATACAGTATGTAGACTTCAATAAATAATCTATTTCAATACAAACTGTCCTAACCAAATAGCCTATTTCAGAGCATCTACATGGGTTGTGGGAGGAGGGTTGGAGCCGCAAGCGCATAGGTAAGAGTTAATGCAATTGCTCACAATGCATAAAGTTAAACTAAGCAGCATAAAGAAGTTTAAGTTACAATAAAACAAAGTTAAGTCAATGTTAAGAGGGCTGAACACATTGGATGCAAACACTTTTATTCAACTCTATTTTTCTTCTTTTCTCCAAGATGAATATGCTATTTAAAAAGCACATTTAGAGATTAATGGTCCAGAGGGAAAATAGGAGGAATGTGTGCGGGGAGTGAACTATTGTAAAGGCTGTATCAGCTGCTACCAGTTAGAGTATTTGTTTCTTTTCATAATTTCCAGAGATTCACCCTGCATTCTGATATGAAAATCAAATTATAGAAAAATTGGTCATTTTTTTTTCACATGCCAGATACTTAGCATGTGTAATTCCTGCCTTAAACAGATAGTTTTGTCTGGCTTGTACGCAGTGTCCAGAGGGAAAACTACTAGTTATCATTACTGCTATGATTTCTTCCAAGCATCTCATTTTGGCTTAGTGAGAATTGGCATAAGATTAAACTTGACAGAGAGTAGATGGCAGTAGCCTCTTGTCATCTTCTGTCAAACTAGCAAGTGGGTACTTAATCCAGCCTTGAAGGTCAGAAAACCTGATTATGGAGAAAGCATATGAAATAGTTTGGGATTTCAGGCTATTAAGAAAATAGTATTACAGTATAGCAATCAAATTACACTAAAAAGATAAAAGCAACCTGCACAATTCTTAAGCTGCTGTGCATTAAAATCCTCTCATACCAGACTCATATGGATGCATAACTATTGTGCACAGATAGATTTTTAGAAAGCACAAAACATAGCTGAGAGCAGCTTCAAAAACACTATGGGGAGATATTTTCATCGCTCGGATGAATGCATAGTGATCCACTTTGTCATGCAGGCAAAAATTTAAGTATGGGATTAAATTTTGACACCTCTGCCTGTTTCGGCACCCACTTAACTTATACATTCTCCTTTTTTTAAAAGCTGAACACTGAGAGTGTGCTTGTAGTCTTTGGGGAGAGAGGGAACTACGTATCTAATGAGAGAGGTAAAAGTTAAGATGACAAACTTTTGCATGGAGTGCACCATCTCCTGTGAGGAGCCTTGCTGYACCAATAAGCAGCAGTGTGTGTAAGCAGCAAGGAGTGATCTAAGGATCAAATTCGAGCCCCAGCGTTCATCCACCCCAGGCAAGAATGGATTGAGTCTGACTTGCTGGGAGGTTCAGGAAAAATAGGACACTTTMTTTGCAACACTTCAGTCTCCCCGTGACTGTCATATAAACTGGATCTGTCTGCTTCTCTTCCTGCTTTCTATTGCATATTTCTGACAATATGGAAGCTACTGCTGAAGTTATTTGTATCAATCGAAGTTGTCCTTGCTCCTTTTCTTTTGGTCTAGTACTTCTAATTATCTGCTTTAGTAGATGTGTGTGGTCAATATGTCAGATCACAGGGGTRTGCTTGTCCATGTTATCAGATCCGAGGGCCAGCAGTTGGACAGAGCTAAACTTCAACCTTTGACACTTTAACCTTGCTGAAGTTGCTGATGCTGACGTGTTGGGAACTTTGAAAAGGTAAATTGAATGCTGCAGCTCAAGTGAGTTTCTTAAGGTTAAGGTTTCTTAAGCCAGAGTGAGCCCCCGTGCTTTAGCAGCTATCTAAATTTCTAGATTCAGAAAATATTTACAAAGTCATCCACTAGAACATCATGATTTGGGTGGTTCTTTTTGATTTTTTTTTCCTTCCATTAGACTTCCAAGCATATCCCGGGCACATAGATTGTAAAAATACATTGTGCTAATAAAAATCTTATTTTCATTTTTGGTCTATTTATTTTGAAACAGGCARGGATATAAGCACTAGGAGAAAAGCGTGGAAGTGGTTAGTTCTGTCTTAGGTGGCTTAGCGAAAATATTTTGTAGATTATATGACACTCCATGAAAATCAGGCTATGAGTGTCTGTCAGTAATTTACAGGTGGGGGTGGATTGCTGCAAGGATAYGTTTTGGTTTCTGCAGACCACATTGATGTCACCAAGTGTCACCAGTTGAAAAGCACTGCTATATTAAAACACCTGCTTATTGCCTTTGCTAATGGTAAAAGCGAGAGGTTCTTGTGCACTGGCTTTGTAACCCTCTATATTTTGATGGGGACAGGCACTATAATAAAACTAAGTCAGACTTGCTAATACCTGTTGACTGTAAAATTTAGTCACTAGTGTTAATGAATTCATAGCACCCAGTCTTTGGAATTTTGGTCTCTTCTGCTTAAAGTTTGAAATGTAGTCATCTCTGTTCTTCAACAATTCTAATTTTCCAGCACAGGACACAGGAGGTCTCTAGTTCAGGTCATGAGATCTCAGTCATTAGCAGTCATAAGAAAGACTCAGCAGCAAGGGCAGACAAGTGACAGACACTTAACATAGAATTGCCCCTTGAACATATTGGTSTGATGCCAGAGGTCAGGAAATCTCTCAGGTATAGGTAATAGCAAGAAATATGGCAAAACTCACAGATAAGTCTAGGGAAAGAACTACTTTGCAACAGAGGATGAAAAGCATTCCCCTACTTGCTGCAGCACGTAGTAAAGGCTGAAGAAAAGCTCCAGAAAACCCATTCCAAGAGGTGTGCTGAGAGTGCAGTACTCATTTGTAGTGGATGAGCTGAGGGTGTGCTAAAGGGTCAGGTTCTCATTATTGGGCTTAGGGGTTCTTTTTTAATTCACCACTACCTTGATCATTGCTCAAAGGTCTCACAGTTGATAAAAAGCTGATTTGCAYATTGCCAATGATCCAAAGCTCATTAAAAATCAGAGTAAATAGTTTTTTCTTCTCTTTTTAAAGAAAACAACTTTGGAAAAAGGTCAAACAAGGCTGTTATGAAAGGTGAGGGAGATAAGAGTGAAGATGACATTTTTCCAAAGCAATGTCACCAGACCTCTCACAGCCAGATTTCAGGTGAAACTGGAGGTATCTTCATGGTCTTAAATAGAAAGAAGGTTTAAGAAGATGGACAAGGACCTAGGAACAGTCCACATTCAGGTGCACAACACATRAGGGAGTGCATGTAAGGGGAAAAGAAGTATCTAGATGTACTCTAACCTGCAGCAGAAAGGARGGTCTTTCTGTCTCCCTCCCTCCCTGCAGACCCTCACTCCAACCAAACCTTAGGGACATATGACAAGAAAGTGAGTGATTGGTCCAAAAGAGATGAATTCACTCCAATCCACAGCACACATTTTTTTGTACCATGCGAGGAGAAAAACGCTTGTTTAGTAGTTATTTCTCAGACATCCTTTTCTCTGCTGGAAAAAAATGAGTGATTTTATAAAAATGTTACTGCTGCTCCTCTTTTATTTGACTGCTCAGGATAAACAGTCAAGTACTTGGGCTGTTTCCCTCACATGGAGGGAGGCTTAATTAATTCATGTTTAAGTATTGGCTAAATCTGTCTGCATCATTGTGCCTTGGTTATTATTCTCATGTCTTTACAATATCTGTATTTGGAGCACTCTCATCAAAGAAATGCTTTGAATACAGTTGTGTGGATGGAGTGTCTTTCCATAATTTGGTCAATCACCTGAGAAGTCTACAGTCATTTAGTACCTGCCTGCATTGCTTTAAWTTATTGTGGAATAAATGAGTCCCGCAGCATGAGCATTACTGATCATTGACTATGCCAGTCTGTATTTCTTTGAAAAGAACATTCTTTTTGCCTTAGTGTTGCTGCAGCTTTGCTCCATCTGTTTGCACACTGGTAAATGTTTTACAAAGTGATCCTTGCATTTAGCTGCCCTGGTTGCAGGGTCCTAGACGATCAGACAGTCTGAGTGAGAGTTCTGGAAAAAAATCAGACTCTCTGAGCATTTTCAAATCAGACATCCCTAAAATCCCTTGCAAAATTGATCATTCTGAACCCCTATAAATGCATCTGAGTTGTCTGTTTTTCTTACACACAATAAACGATGTGATGGAAATCATGATTAGAAAATATCTGGAAAAATAACATGCAGCTCTTCTGACAATTTTATCAGTTCAGGAAGTCATCTCAGCCAGGAATGCCTTCCCACCACTGAGAGYGGAAAGAGATTCAGCAGGAAGAGCTTCAAAAGCAACTACGAGGAGCAGAATCAAGGCTGTATTTCACAGACTTTGCTAYGTAGCCTTGTTCTCACCCACTCTCCCATATGTCCTCTCTACAGTGATTTCCAGTTAATTCTCTTCCATCAGCACTGTTCTGGCTGTAACATGGCTTTCCAGCTCTTGCCAGCTGACTATTTAACAAGCCAGAAGGGAATGACGGGAGGCAGGGTGCCAGGCACTTACCTGTAAACAGCAGAGCGGGCACCAAAATTTGAAACGTTTTCAGAGACATTGCAAATTGTGCAGAGTGTATCCTWTGCAAAGTAGGCACTGACATGCATTTTTATACTTTGCTATCTTGAAGTTTATAAATCATTTACCAGATGCCTCTAAAGCTTTGGTGCTGTCAGAGGGCAGGGTACAGCGTTTAGTTCTGGTTTGTCTTGTATACCTCTATTTGTGCACTTTAGACTTACTGCGTTCTGTGGATACATTAACTTCTGCTTAAGATTTATAATGCAAAATAGCACACTGGGCTGTTTCTGTGCAGTGAACATGGCAGGTGTCTGAGAATCAGGCTTTTGCGTAATTATTTTCCCCTGGTTGTAATGGATTTAAATGTGTTTTATTGTTTGTGAAGTGAATAGTGAGAAATGACATTTGAATCAACTTGCTCTGAGAACAGTGACTAAACATACAGTGTACTTTAGTTTTATAATACTTGGATTGAGAGAAATTTCTAAGAAAACCTACTGAGAATGCACYGAGATGGGGAGAAAATGAAGGGACTTTGGTTCCTGGCCAACTAGGCAAGGATCACAGGGTCTTTTGTTTTCTGTATCTGAAGTCAGGAATCTGCAGAGAGTGGGCCGCAAAGAGTTCATACTATCTTACCTTTTTAATATCTTCAGTTATACTTTATTTATTTATTTATTCCTTGTATTTTTTTCAGTCTTACTGCTGTCCAGATCATAAACTCATGTACGTCAAAGATAGCAGGCCTATAGAAAAGCTGAGCTTTATCACACATTGCGGTGAGGTGATGTGCAGTTCGTGAGCTCAAGTTTACATTCACTCAAAGATCTTTCTGCCAGAGAATGAGACCTTGTCGACTTTACAGGTTCCAAGGACCAAACTCCATGCTCTTGGGCAGGACAGGAGTGTATCCTGCTTAGGTTAAGGACAACTGTGGTAAGAACCACCCAGTCTGTGCAGTGGATGGAGCAAAATTTTGTTGGAAAATAAAATAGCATTTTATTATGTAATTATAGAGCCCTATCATTTTTATCATCATACAAGGGTAGACAGGAGGGAGGAGGGGAAACATTTGAACAACAGGCCTMATAGTGGAATTCCTAACTTTGAAGTCATTTAGCAACTTAATTATTATTTTATCATTGTTTCAAAGACGCATATATATGTATAATATAATATAAAAAAATCTCTAGTAAATTACGCTTGGAGACAGGTGCTGCGAATTCTGGAAGCCCATTAACTCTAAATGTTTATCACCTGAACTTGAAGTGTTTGGATCCACTTTTCTCACCTCTGAATGGAATGTTACTACTACTAAATTAAATGTTAGATACCAACCTGGACTACCATCCAAAGCTGAAAGAACAAGACTCTTGCCTGTGAGGGACCCAGGTGTCTGGCAGACATAACCTCTCAGGAAACAAACTTCCTGAAAGAGCATCCAAGGGAGCACACTGTAGTTATCTTTTCTAGCTCACAAACCCTTCTGTGCCATCTTCTCCTGTCTGTCCCACCCTTACCTCTTCCATGGACTTGCTTTCTCCTGTGGTTTCCTTCCCACAGGCTTTTTCACCCAGTTCTTGTCCCTTACCTGGCATGATGTATAGAGGAATAYGTTGACATGTCATTTCACAGTCATTGCAACTATCCTTTCTTTAATGTGCAGTGTGCTAATAGAGAAAGGAGCTAGTGAAATGGCCTAGGCCAAGTGAGATAACAATCCCCTGAGCACAGAGAAGTACCCAGGTAGCCTTCTCAGGCTTTCTTGTATAGCCTGCCTAACTCTGTTTTTTTCCAAGATTTTCTTCCCTCTTGCTATGTGCTGTGCCATTTTCCATGAAATGGCACTGTGCCTATAARCCTAAACTTCCTTATATTGAAAAATTTAATAGTCCCTTGTATAGGAAATGTGTTCCCAGTGCTATTTCTCTTCCCAAGATAAGCTATTGGGAACCCAAGCTCTTTCTTCTTCTGACTTGAGTCCTGCTTATCACTTCCAAGTAGCCATAGAGCTGTCAGGATCAACCCTGCCAGCCTTCTCCTCAAACCCTGTTATCTCGCTTCAGCTCAGGATACCTAAGAGGAAGCCAGTGTCCTTCCCTGGCCCTTTATTGAAAAAAAAAATAGGTAGATTCAGTCTCAAAAACTTTTTGGAGACAGATGTGTTCTTGGCTGTTCTTTGAGGGTATTATATAGGCAATCTGGACATCACTAAAAATTATGGAAAGATGAATGTTCAGTGTTTACTGAATATGGAATTTTAGCTGTTAATCCCTAACAGACATGCAGACTGCACTTTTTTGGGAAGATGTATGACTTGGCCCAATGGCTTAGTCTTCATATGGYGAGATGAATCATCATATCATTCTCATATGATACTCTCCCTCTCTTGTCAAATTTCTGCTTCCTGCTTTAAAGCATGGAGAAACTTATTCAAAGGAGTTGTCACTAGAATATTCAATACAAGTTAAACATCCCTCCCAACATGTCCTTGTCTCATTTGCAGAAATAGCTGAAATACTGGCTGAAATGTTTCCAAAAAATTTCAGCCTGAGACAGACATCTGACATGTTAAAAAAAAAATCAGATGAAATGATAAAAGTTTAACTTAAGTTAAAACCAAGTGAAAGTGGGAATTTATATAAAAGGATATGTCAGGCAATTTTAAATGCTATCAGYTTTATCAATGAGTTGCATGTTAGTCTTCAAACAGCAGAACTCTAAGTTAGAAAAAGATCAGAACATTTTTTCTTTTATCTTTCAGTAATTTTAGCCAGTAAATCACCACTTCAGGAGAAGGAATCATAGAATCATTACAGTTGAAAAAGACTTTCAAGATCACTGAATCCAACCGTAACCCCATCCCTACCAACCATGCTAAAYCACGTCCCTGAGAGCCTCATCTGCACTTTTCTTGAACACAGCCAGGGATGGGGACTCCACCACTTCCCTGGGCAGCCTGTTCCAATGCTTCAGCACTCTTTCCGTGTAGATTTTTTTTCCTGTTATCAAACCTGAACCTCCTCTGGTGCAACTTGAGGCCATTTCTTCTTATGCTAAACAAAGATCTATGTTCCTGCTTCTACTGGTATATATGCAAGTGTGTGTGGTGTAAAGCATATGTTTTATTTTCTTTTAAGAAAAGGGGTAAAAAAACCTAAAGCTGTAGCTGATTATGGCTAGAACAGTTTTAGAAAAGAAAGGAACAAAAGGAAAGAAGAAGAAAGAAGGAGAAAAAAAAAGAAGAAGAAAGAAGGAGAAAGAAAGGAGGAACAAAAGAAATAGGGTCTGTCACAAAAACATGCTAGGGAAGATGATTACCATGATCATCAAGGTGTTCTGTGTCCTGGAATAATTTTTCAAGGCATTTTTGATTAATGAAGTAGTTGAAAAATAGCTAATTTATAAAACATCTGAAATATAGCGGAGTTTCCTGTCTTTAAGACTGCTTGCTGCTTTGAGTTCATTGAGATCAGCTAACAGATGGTGAAGTTATTTGGAAAGGGCAAACAGATAGGAAAACAAACACTGGATTAGGGAACAGAAAGGAAGAGCTGGCTGAACGTTTTGAGGTCATGAGCTCAAAAATACCACCTTCATTTTCTTCATCTGGCACCTGTACCTGTGTCACATAACAGGAAGCTTAAAACTATTTTGATCCAGTTTTGCCATTTAAATATAAAGACAGCCTCTCCTCCTTTTCAAAGTGTATCTGTGCTATGTATCTGTGGAAAATCATCTTCTCTGTTGGTTTAGTATCAAATACCTCATTTGTTTCAGTTTGTCTAATGTTTACTAGTTGTCTTTGTTCAACTCCAAGATACTTTTGACTTAAGTGCAGCTGTTACACCACTCTTGAATGTAAGTTTATTTTTTTAAGAGTTTGAAAATATCTGTTTCGTTGCTGCAATACCTTTTTGGAATGCAGATGAGATAATGCAAATATTTTTTAGGAGGACATAAAACATGCACGGTATGGAAGGTTTCTCAAAAGGGAACAGTAAAAACATGTAAAACATAGTGTAGGCCTTCCTGGGGGCGATCYACTATAAATGACAGCCACAGATTGTATTAGCTGTTTAAAGAGCCTGMGAAATTTTTCATGCTGTCTTGGCATTATGTTTGTCATCCTCTGCATGATTGGAAATAGCTAAATTGAGCAAGGATGTGGTGCAAAGACAAACTTGAGCAGTGCCCTTCAAGAGCCCATGCATTAAGAGCACAGACGAAAGCTTTATCTTTAATGTTTCTTGGTGGATTCTSAATACCTTTAGGCTCATAGCTAGCTTTTCAATGCCAGGAGCCCAGCACTGTGATCAGGTATCCACACGTGCCTGGGGGCAGTGCTCTGGCCCCTGCTGTCACTAGAGGTGCGGGCACAGATGCCTCTCTGAAGCTGACAATGCTGTGCTAGGATGCTCATGTCAACCACCAGTCTTTACAAAACGTTCCTCCCACTGGAGTATTCATTCTCCCCATCTTTGCCAAGGTGATGGTGTCAAGGCAATTTATGTTCCTCTGTATGCAGCAGAATTGAATTGAGAGCAATGGGGAAATCTAATGTGAGAAAGTTAACAGGCCTTTTATTAGCTCCTACTTCAACTTCCTAGCATGATTTGAAGTTAGCTTGCTGTCATATGGTAAGATATTTGCCACAGCAAGGTTGTGTATTTTAAACTTTTTGTCTTGGAAGTGTATTTTAGTTCAGGCTTTTTATTCCAGTTGATTGTAGCTCTTGCCGAGCCCACATTCGCCTGTGCAGAACAGCACTGCCAATCTGGCTAGTTTTGTACTCAAGCTCTTTTTCTCTGTTCATCTTTGTATCTGTGTGAGCACGGGCTCACAAAGCTCCCTTGACAGGGAGGAAAGGTATCCTGGCATGTTTTCGCAGCACTGCACCATGTAATACTCTTGCCTGGTTTTCGTTTTTTTCCTTCTAGGACCAAACCAATATTCCTTGGTTTGCAGGACTGCAGGAGGTGGGAACACTCCGCTACAGTGAAGCCAGGAGCTTGTGTTCATGCCACCCCAATGCTGGTGCCGAGAGAGGGGCCTTGCCCGAGGAAAGTGTCTCAAGGCAGCAGGCAGTGCAGCCACCTCCTCCAGCAACAGAGACTCCAGGGGCTCTTTGACATCAGCCTTAGCTTTTC